CAGCTGATTGCAAGTTATACACTCACATCTACAATGTGATTCTTCACTTTTTTCCTTCGTCTATGGGTTGAGGCTGCCGTGCTGCTGCAGACTTAGCTTTCCTTCTCCCTCTGACAGTTTATATGGAACAATGTGTTTTCATTCCTCCTTCTGTTATTTTCTCACCTCTTTAATTAATTAATTAATTTAATTTTGGGATGGAACTGCAGCAAGCTCATAAAGAGAGCCTCAGCCGTTCCACCTCTCCCACGCAGAGATGGAAAATATAATGCGACAGCAGGAGCGACTGTCGCAGCTGAGTGTCCTCTTGACGACCAGGCTGGGCTCAGACTGTGTGATACTATGTGAAATGGATGTGCAAATATCATGCAAATGCATTGGGAGCATATCACAATTTCAGAGGGAGGATCTCACCTCTGGTACCCTCTGTGAATCTTCAGAAGATGCACAAGAGTGTTTTATTAACAGAACAACTCTACAGGACTGCAAGATTTGTTTTTTCTTAGAGTATAGCGCAGAGGTAAATATGTACAGTCTGCCCTGAGGGTGGCGCTAGGGGACAGATCATGGGATCAGTAAAATTGAGGAGCTTATCCTCAGGACAATCTTGAACTAAATGGAATGTTTTTATTGCAGTATTGCTACTTTTATTTAAAGCATAATGTAAAATCACACCGTTTGTGTGGGTGCAACACCAGGACTGCACATCACTGTTACATCACTGCTTACAGATGCAAATAGGATAGAATGGTGGACTCATGAAAACAAGATTCCTTACTTTAACTAATTTGAATAGATCGCTCAGTGAGCTGTGCTACCAACCACGGATTATCTACTGGACCGATTGGGTGGTGCCCAGGGGTCTTCAACTCATCTTTTTTCTTTTTACAAAATAAATGTGTGTGTGTATAAAGACTTATATATGTTCAGATATAAAGTGTAGACTAATGTGCTGCTGCTGCTGGTCAAGTGAAATGATGTTTCATTCATCTACTAATTCCACAAAGGTCTGTCCATCTTGCTGTCTCTATCGCATATCTCGTGAACGATTCACCTTATCAGCATCACACTGGGCACCTCTATTGTAAATCCCTTGAGAATTTGCATTGTTGAGTTTGGTGCGATTGACTATAACATCTTGAAAGCAGGTAAATCAGGAAGGGGGGAACGCAAAGTTATCCTATATTTCACTCTGCAAAGTGAAAACATGTTTGTTTGTTTATGAAAAGCTCTGCACACAATGTCCAGCACACAAAAAATAAAAAGTGACTGAGAGTAGAGAGGTTTGAGGAGGACTCACTAATGGCAAGGAATAATTACCACAGGTCAAGAGAACAGCCCAGTCCAACAGACTGTTTAGAACGGGCACTGCACTAGTTTGGTATAAATCCTGTGGAAGATATCTATAGGTGTTGATATTATCCTTAGGGTTGTGATCATAGGCTGCAGCCTGTCTGTGTAAATCCTGAATGGAGGGGGGGCTCCAAGATTTTGTGCCATGGGGCTTCTGCAGACTAAATCCATATGTGTCATCTTAACTTCCTGTTTTCTGTTAGAGTCCTGAAAGCAGCTGGAGGTTCTGACAGTGGAGGTGAGGAGGAGCAGGGTGAGGAAACCTCTGTGTCAGCACAATCTGGTTACCCCCCCACCCCTCCTTCCTCATTTTCCTTGCCCCCAAAGGCATCTCCAGCTAATTTTAGATAAGTGATGTTGTGGGGCCGTTCTGTCCTCATTAAGCTGGCCGGGCTCTAACACATGCACATGAATCATACAGTTCATCACTAATTTAGGGCAGTGGAATTTGGTTGCTACTGTGCACAATCAACGCGTCGCCTCCAGATACAGTTTGTCTATTGGCTGTACACCCATCGAAGAAGACTAGGCAACAGCTGGGATCAAGTTCATTTGAACACATCAGGAGAAACATCTGTCTGAACACGTTATCCATGCTGCAAATGAAGACAGCGCATGTTTCCTCCACCACAAAGTGACAGTCTCCCACTTTGTCTCCAAATTTTTAGGCTGACATTCAGGTCAGCAAAGACTATAACATAATTAATTGATTCACCATATTATTGATGGGTACTTAGTGCTGCACAGTGTGACCTAATCTGATTATTGGAGGTAATTTCATCTGGATAATGATACATACAGTATATTGACTTGGCAGTGGCTGTTTTCTCTTCATGACTCTTTGCCATATGTGGTGCGATGGAAAAAAAGCCTCATTTGAGTCTGAGGTTTGTTTTCAGCACTCAACTGTACTTTAGAGGCTCTCATCCCTTTACCCTCTCCACACTGTTTGACCTGATTCTTGTGTAGGTGGTGAAAGAGGTCAGTGTTGTTTCGAGTGTGTTAAGTTTTCTAGTTTGTTTCACACTTTTCACGCATCATGTGTAGGTTGGTCAGACTCCTTTTCCTGTTCTGTGTCACATGTCATGCTGCTTTATTTCATGCWTTTTCCTATGCTGTATATTATCATTTATCATCATCACTTATCACACAGCCCTGGTAGTGTTAAATGTTGTAAAGAGCTGCAGGGACGTGAGTGTGACTGGTGTTGTGCYGATGGAGTTTGTGCTGTGGAACTTAYTGRATTTATTTTAAAACTTTAAACAAGGAGAAAGTGTTGTTTACATCTGCAAATTAAAATGAGGGCAGAATCAAACATGGAGGTAATGAAACATGATCAAATATGACAAACAGACAATATGTAATAATGGTCTGTGTTAAAAAAGCTAAGAAAATACAAGGTAATGGAATTGTGTCACATCTGCCAACTGCAGTGCACCTGCTTCCTGCTAAGGTCCCTCTAAAATCCAACTCACACGCAACAACCGCTTGCTTTCTTCTTCTACTGTCTTACCTGCACTCCAATTAAGCATCTCAATTATCAATTCATCTTTAAAATGATACTCCAGTCTCTGTCCGATGTAATCATTGAACCACTATAGTGTGCGTGTGTGTATGTGATGTCTTGTGAGGTCTACCCGAACCTGTGAGGTCAGCCTGTTCAATGAAGTCACACAAAATCTGTTAAAAAGATTCCTTCATTTCATGTTTAAAGTCATTGAAATATTGTGTTTTCAATGATAACTTTGGTCTGATATGGATTCATACGAAATTATTCAGCAAGTGCATACCACCACACCCCATATGTGTCGACTTTTTTCCACTGGCCTGCTACTACATATCCATATGGAATATCCACACATACACGACCCGCTCTCTAATGCCTATATTATCACATCATTTCAGTTCCACACATTGACTTGCACCTTAGTAAAAACTATATGTTGGAACCAGGACCCCAGAATTAAGATAATCCTTAATTAGTCCCACAGTGGGGACATTTGCATAATTTGATCTTCTAATGTGCAGAGAAGGAGAACTTGTTTTACACAGTGTATTTAGAAATTCCAAAATTCCTTTAAAAAAAACTAAACCCTTGGCAAAAGACATCAGGCCCAGCTTCTGCATTTCCTTTGCTACAAGTTAACTGTTAAATGCCGCAGAGCTTTTCTAATAATAATGATGGATGGTTTACATTTACTCGTGTTGTCAGTACTAGTCCAGTGCCCGTTCTGTTGGGACTGGGCTGTTGGCTTGGCCTGTGGTGATACTGGTCCAAGCCACCACTGCTACAGAGTGGTGTAACTGGTCACCACTATATTCAAAGTTTATTAATACTTGAGGTATGTGAGCCACAGACAGACCAAGATTTCTGGAATATATATCAGCAGTACAAGTTGTATGGCAAACTCACAATGTTCTGATCGTGCTCATCACTCATCACGGGAAGTGAAAAGACCTGTTCCTGTAGATTATCTGAGGATGTACCAGACATGTCCAACATTCTGCAGACTGTTAAGGAACGCTGCAGAATTTCCACATCTGTCTGAAACCTTTTATACAGTGAAAGTCAACCTGCATATTGTCTGCTGTACACATTTATCCAGGCTGAGAACCAGTGACACACTGACACTTGCATCATAAAGCACTTCAGTATTTACAACTGTCATCTGTAGATCACATCTGTCTATTTGTTCTGGATTAAAGCTGCTGTTTACCACAGGAGAAATAAATGAAGTTGTCATGACGTGGGGGAGGTGGCAAGATTGAGGCGCAGCAAAAATACCCCAGAGGTATGTAAATTACTTACCCAGAGTGAGGATCCTGAAAAGCTCTTAAACTAAATGATCCTTCTGTTCAGCATAGGTGTGTGGAAACTGAAGCAACAGCCTCAGAGACCCAGTCAGGCAGAACATTTTAACTACAGCTAAACTGCTAAGGACACAAACACACGTTTCACTGCAGTACTCAACACATCAATCCATCATCAATGACACCGTCATCCCAACACTATCTCATACTTCTTACCTATTATGTTCACTCTGCTTTCAGAACTTAAAAAACAAAACTTTGTGTGATCGTTGTGAAGAAATCATTTCTTTATATTTTTACAGGTTCTTCTTTAGGGTGGGGCTGATGAGTGATGCCCTCGTCCATCGATGATGACCGACAGAGACTGAGTGAGAGGAAGTTGGAAACAGTGCATAATGTTGCAGATGTAATCAATTCAAATTATGTAAATTTAAAAAAGCCACTACGCTTTTGTAAATGGACAGACTGTGTTCACCATGACACTTTCGCTTTATGATGCAAATGTTATTTGTGAACTCTTTCAGGTAGTGGTAGGCAATTTTGGAGGTCATATGCCAATTAAGTTGAAATCAACAAACCCCATTCTACAGTTCTCAGACTCAACACCAAAAATTCCRTTTGAACTTTTTACAGCTGCTAAGAAATATGAGCCTTCAACTCATCTAGTCCAATAAATGTAATTAAGTCATCGGCTCGAAGAGTGACAGAAACACAAAATGACAATGGCTTTAAACCATGCAGCTGCTGACCTACGCTGAGTCACAACATCTGCAGTACAGCAACAAGCAGACCACACTAACAAATRAGAGAAAAGTCACCCGACAGTGTTCTCTTACCTTGAACAGTCGCAGGATGTTGGCCACCATGATCGACACAGAGCTGGCTGACGCCCCAATGACGCCCACCACCTTATCTGGTTTGGCAAAGATGGGCGTGTCACCATTAGTGCAGCGCACATCAGATCCATCCCTCTCAATGAGTGCCTGGACAAAGGTGAGTGACTGCTCCAGAGCATAGGTGTCACGGGAACACGTGTCCAGAATTCGTGCCCCAAGCGTAACGTTGGGTAGCAGCTCTGGATCCTTGTTGATGAGGTCGATGGCGAACAGCATTGCCTCCAGCCTGTGGATGCCCTTTTCTTTCTTCAGCTCGCCACAAGGCACGCCCCTCTCACCGCGAGCATGCACAGGGAACAAGCCACCCAGGATGATGTCGCCATCCAGCCGGATAGAGTGGGCATACTCCTGCTGGAGCTGCGGGGAGTCCACAGATACGACGGGCTTCTGGGATGTGGAGCCTAGCAGCCAGCAGCTCTTGAGCATCAGCAGAGAGAGCAAGCAGTGGCCGGAGCTGACTGGGGTCTTCACACCCATCGCCATGTTGTGGTAAGTCGAGCAGCAGGGAAAGGTAGCAGTGATATGATCACACAGTCAACAGAGAGGTGGATATAGCAGTGTGCAGGCTGTGTGGCGAGGAGAGGACAAGCCAGACCATGGATTCACCCTGTTTCAAAGGCCTTGTCGACCACGATGGGGGGCTCCCACCTACAAACACCAACTCCAAGGTTTTCCTGAGGTACAGGTTCCTGTGTTAGACATACCTGTCAGAGGCAAGGCAGCTTTAAGGGCACCACAGTTGCAGTATCACATTCTTCCAGGAACCTGTTGGAGATCCAGACATAGAAATAAGCAATCAATACAAATCAATACATGATCAATAATCAAACCTCCTCATAAACAGAGATCTTTCAAGTGGCAATAATGTGCACCACAGGCACAGCAAAAAGCTGAGATGCCAAAAACCTGAACAACAGCTTTATTAAATTCAGAGATGATACCACAGAGGTTAGACAGATATAGACAGGGTAAGGGAGTTGAGAACAACCTCTCTAAATGTTTGTAAAAGCAAAGAGGTCATGATTCATTGTAGGTCGGAAACCAATGATACACCTCTGTTGAGGGAGTGGACTCAGTGCCACAGGTAGCCACTTGGGTGCCCTAGGCTTAATTGCTTTGTGGGGCTCTCCAGGCCCACGCACAGTGCCACTGGCAGTGTTGGTTGCTAAGCAAGGTTCTGCTCAACTAAAATCATCTAAATATCAGGACTGAACGGTATGAATGGTAAATGGCCTGTATTAATATGAGCTTTTCTAGTCTTGATGACCACTCAAAGCACTTTACAGTACAGGTTATTGCCATTCACCCATTCACACACACATTCATACAGTGCATCTATGGGCAGCACTTTTTTTAAAAGAGGGTCAATTCTTGCCCAAGGACACTTCGGCATGCAGATGGGGAAGACTGGGATTGAACCGCTCAGCCACAGCTGCCCTGAAGCCATGCATCTTCCTGTCTTGCGATATCAGTGTCTCTGAGGCTTCTCAATTACTCAACAATCAATCATTTGAAATGATTATGACGATTATGATGATGATCATAATTGTGGTGCCCCCTCCTGTGCATGGTAGGAGCGGCAGCCCTGAGCAGACTGTTTCAAATCCCTCTGTATGCTGTCTACAAACTCTTCGCTACATTTCTACATGTTCTCAGAAGAGGTTTAGCAGATTATAGGACTGATCACAAATATTGTTGCAATATATCATCCTCCTGCCAACGGCAGTACTGAGCAATTTGCTGGTTATGTATAATTTGTATTCAAGCAAAGATCTTTGTCTGTCAGAGGAGATCATGGTTTTGTTGCTTTACTTATTTTCATGAAGTGTTGTCACTTCATTGTCTGGTCTATAAATCAGTGAACCTTTTATAATTGGTGGGCAGTTATAAAAGGTTCACTGTGGGAGGGTCCTCATATATCTTGCTTTGCAAGACTAAGAATGATGTTCAGGTTTCAATAATAAGAAACAAAAAAGAAAGGAATGTTTGACATTTTGCAAGTAAACCAATAATAACATATCTATAACTGATTAACAAATATTTGCTGATAAATTAATTGATTGACAAATTGATTCATTAACAAATTGACTTCAAAGCTACTTCATGTAATTTTTCCTTGATTCTGGGTCACAAAGATTTACAAACCATAAACGGGCTTTGAATTTTGATCACTCATCAAAGTTGTATATGTTTTATGCAGGATGGTGATACTTAAAGTATGCAACATTAATCAGGCTATAGCTCACTCCGCAGGAAACACAATATTTTAGCCAGAATAAACCTGCTTCTAAAAATGAGGCAACAGATTATGACAACAGATTAACCAATTTCCTCTGAATTGATTAGAAATGAATCAGAGATTCATAGCTTCCTAACAGGTATATTTTATAACTCTGTGACAAATTACGTGATTTACTTAGACTTTGGCTTAAGAACTAAGATTTTTCACAAGGCAAGTTGTCACTACAATGCTGACTCCTGAAAGCGTGGAGTGAAAGGAGCAAGCCAGTTAGGCCTCATTCACATTATCCACTAAATCCCACTTCATCTGAGTGAGTCTCTCAAAGTCAGACTTGAAAATGTTCTGCAGGCCCTGATTAACCTGTACGAGTTTCTGATGGCTTGAGTAACATGTTTTGCTAGTACAAGCTATTCAAAAACATCTGACATTTTTATTGCAGAAATGAATTGGGAAGAAAAGGAATATGGCTGCTACTAATTTAAACCTGTAAGATGATTATTGTTGCACATGGCTCTTTACTTATTTTCATGACAGGCTAAATAGCAGGACGTCAAACCAGGCAGGAAAAATAACCTTAGTCAAAGAGATTCATACAGTCGAACTGAGCCTTTTGGCAGCAGCCATTTTGACAAGAAAAAGTAGTCAAACATCACATTAATTAAGGCAGATCATCAAAGTGTCTAAAGCCGTTTACAGACATGAACTCCAGAGAGTGTCTGCTTGATTGGGTCTGGAACTTTCTCCCACATGAACAACACAGCAGGAGATTCTCCGCTCAGACACGTTCACAACAGCACAGAAATCTCTGGAGCGTTCAGGTGAGGGGTGGGGCCGGACGCAATCTGTTAATTTCGCTGCTGAGATCATGTCTTTTTGTTAACAGCATATCAAATCTGGTGTCTGCCCTTAACACCAAACGCTCTTTTAATATCTTCGTCACTGTCCTCTTCGTGGCTCCGCTTTTTCATCCAGTGATATCTATTTTCTTTTTATTTCATCAACACACTCACTCGCTTGCAGTGAGTTATTGCTACGGGGCTGAACGGAGAACCTCCGGAGAAAGGAGCCTCTCACTTGGACATTTGAGCACTCACATAAAGCCCCTTCGGAGAATGCCAGGAGATTATATGAAGTTCAGCTACCAGTGACATCACAGCGAGTGAAATATACAGATTAAAGTGAATGGGAGGGTTTAGGATTAGGGTCTCGAGAAAAACCCATGCAAACAACTTCAAGATCAACATCGCACTTCCCAGGTTCCTCAGAAGTACAGATGCTAAGTTTGAAGTTGATGACGTGAAAGACGGAAAGAGAGCTTTATCACCAAACTGTGGGTTTCTTTCATTCTTATGATTCTTCAGTAAATGTCAAGCTCTGACTGGAGGATGATCTGATGGCAGAAAAGTAAATAGGCACTCAGCTCTCATTGGATGATGCAGGATTACATTTGTTTTCCTCTCCCCTTCTCTTGTGCAGCCCTCACTCTCCTTTTCAAATCTTCAATATAATTGCTCAAATATGCACATTCGTCCTCAGGCAAACATAAAACACATGCAAATTTGCAGAAGCCAACCATATCCATTCTCTATGACTTCCCTAAACGCGCGTGCATGTGGGTATTCGGTTTGATCTACGCACACACATTTGAAGCAGATTCCGCACCGAGCCAACGTTTACGACAATAAACATCAGAAACACGCGCGAGCACAAAGAGCAACTTCCTCAATTACACACACACACACACACACACACACACCGACACTGAGTGGTGCGCGTGTGTGCATGATAGCATCCAAACTGGATTCGCAAACACACTTTAATTGTCTGAGACGCACAAGCTGAGATCCATACAGCAGTCTGTGATCGATAGTTTCAAGTTGATCCATTCATTCATTCATTCATTCATTTCACTGATCGACACCATGAGAATCTGGGTGATAATATAGAATAATAATCTAACAGAATTAATTAAAAAAACAACTGAGACTGTTCAGTAATATTAGACACGTTGCCAGTTGTGTTCAGGTACCTTTCTCTCCGCAGCAGGAGCAGCTGTTCACTCTCAGTGTCACAGGTCACACAGATGTTTTCTGACTCCAGCTGTTTGTCACGTCACCACAGCATCTCCTCCAAATGTGTCCGCGGGGATTCGATCTGGCTCCGCATCAGCATCCTTGCACCATATCTCAGTCATTAACTCATCAAATCCACTTTGCCTCTCAGAGCAGCGCAGCCTCTGGTCACCACAGAGAAGTTGTACATTCTTCTGAACCGCAGGTTTCTGACGCTCCGGATCACCTGCGGGGGTTTTGGTTCGACTACCGGTTCGGAACCCAGGTCCTTCTCCCCACCACAGACAGCAGCCAACTCGGATCACTGTGCAGGAACAGACACACACCAGAGTCGGTAGGTTCCGGAGGACTGGAGTCACGGACGCGCCTGTCGCAGGTCTCCGGAGTGCGCGGTGCGGTGCGTCACAGGAAACACGGGAGGCTCCCAGGTTCCTTTGCACCAGCTAACTTCAGACTCTGAGGGTCTCATCAAACTCCCCAGTCACAGAAGTGGCCTCAGGTCTGAGCAGAGACCGCATGTGGTGCTGGTCTTGATGGAGAGGGCAACAAAGTGCGCTCCGGCTGCGGAGAGGATGAACGCGTGTGCGCCTCGTGCACTAACATGAAGTTAATGAGCGTCACTGTGCAGCCTGACGGAGAGAGGAGCTGCTGGGGTCAGGCAGCAGACATGGAGGCTGGATGCCACCCAGCGGACAAACAAAGTCACTGCAGGCTGCTGCAGCAAATACCTCCATAACATTCACTGGACTTTGGTGAAACAGTCAAGTCACGTCTGCTTTATTATCAATAATGCCATATGTGCAGGACATACAGAGAATTGAAATAGTGTTTCCCTCTAATCCCCGGTGCAAACAGCATTAAACATGAAATATAAAATATAAAAAATATAAGTAATTAAAAGATATAAACAGGCAGTGGCAAATCTAGACGATATAAAGAGTGAAGAATTAACTATTATTTAATAGAAAATCATGCTAGAGCACCTTTTTCTGAAAAAGTCATTCTATAAAAGTTCCTGCCATGTGTCTCTCAGTCCAATAATAATAATAATAATTATCCAAATAGACAATTGGTGGTTTTCACCCGTGGTTTGACCCAGTTACTGACTGCTGCTGTGGTTTGTCAGAGGACGTAGAAAAAGACACACTGCTCCGCTGCGCTAGTCGTCT